ATTCACTGCTGGGTGAACAGAGGCACAATTCAAACAAAGTCACTTGCCTAAGGAAACACCACATGTGGTACATGTGCTTCAGTGTCTGAATCGGGCAAACCATCCATTGAAAACAATAGTATCTGGGTATGATGACGTACAAATATTACGATTACGATATTGTATCAATATCACAAGCATCTGCATGATTAGGTGCAAGGGGAGTATTCTGATCCACATGGTGTACCTTTATAGTGTTAGAAAGAATGAAAGTATCCTTTTCTGTTTTTTTCAACAAAAGATTCTCAATATATAACACACAAGTGTTACCTGAGTTGTCTCTGTTGTCAATAACTACAGTGCACTTGCCCAAATGGTTTCAAAATTCTTGTGGATGTAGGGATCAACTAAGCTCATATCACAAGACTGCAAACATACATCACAAAACTGGACTGAAGGCCCATTAGTCGCATGTTATGACAAGCATAGTCGCCTTTTACAGCCTGAACACCCAATCCCGTTAGTCGACTCTTATGACAAGCAAAGTCGCCTTTTACAGCCTGAACACCCAATCCCGTTAGTCGACTCTTATGACAAGCATAGTCGCCTTTTACAGCCTGAACACCCAATCCCGTTAGTCGCCTCTTATGACAAGCATAGACGCCTTTTACAGCCTGAACACCCAATCCCGTTAGTCGACTCTTATGACAAGCAAAGTCGCCTTTTACAGCCTGAACACCCAATCCCATTAGTCGCCTCTTATGACAAGCATAGTCGCCTTTTACAGCAAGCATGGATTGCTGAAGACCTGTTCTACCCAGGGTCTTCACGGGTCTCAGACAGTAAATATACACATGCCTTAGAGCAATGGTAATTCTATTACTGTAAGACTCCTGCTATCCAAATCACTATAACAAATCTTTATTTGTGTAGTCTGTACAGCCACCATGGGATGCTTCCAACTTATTCCACATCATCAGTGTCAACAAATAAACAGCAGTCAACAAAATCAATTCTTATGCATGTTAAGCCATGGTAGTAACATTCCTGAATTTGTTTCCCAGAGATGCAGCGTATTAGCGTAAAATACCCCAAAAATATTCAAAACCCAATTACTATCAATTAGCTTGTGTACAGAAATGCATGCATTAAATAAAAAACTCAAATAATAAAAACAGCTTGCGTAATGAAGCTTTTACAGAGTGCGTACAAAGGAGCTAATTTCTGAAACATAATTACGAGCTAATTTACTTTCCTAGTCAAGCCTATATATTTAGAACAGTTATATACCATGATATACATCTAAAACATAATTGCATTTTTCTTTAAATCTTAAAATGTTCACTAATTTTGGGAAACCCAATAGAGTGATGAATAGATGAGTGAAAAAATATTGGTTACCCAATGAAAAATGTAATAACCCAATTAAAATAGAAATTAGGATAAAACTCAATTGCTCAAAAAGTTATCTGGAGCTCTGGTTTCCAAATGTTTTGAAGAAAACTGAGGCAACAAATAATATAACCATCTAGAGAACTGTTAACTTAATAGGCAATCTCAAGAGAAACAACAGAGGGCCTGCTATTACTTGTAATCAGTGGTCTTGTTGCCAGGTCAGTAGATGAAGCTAAACATTATGCAAACTTGCTATAACCTGAATTCTAACCAGTCAACTTGTTGAAAGTATAAATTACATATTATATAACGTGACTTGAACAGTAAGAATGTGATGTCATCAGCTTTTTGATAATTATATGTGGCATTCAACATATAATAGACCGAATGAATGTTGTTTAATGCCTTGTCAGCAATATGAGTTATAAATATTTAAATCTGGCCCAAGCAGACCAGTGAGTGAAAACACGAGCAACGATCAAGTCATTGGGGCTTAGGCAAATCTCTGAGCCTACCACCTCAATCCAAATTAGTTGGCTCTTACAAGTAATAAGTGCTGAGATCCTATTCTAACCCAGGTCTCCAGGTGGTGATAAACAAACATTACAAGGAAATAGATTAACACTTCATTTGTCCATATGGACATGGGGGAATACGGCCTATGCTGACTGGCAAGACATTTGGTATACAGGTATTTTCTATATCAGCTGGCCAGGATTGCCAAATAAATGTTTGTACTTGAATATACACCTGCACGTGGCATATCGCTGTCACACTTCGTGAGTTGAGTCATGATAAGACAAACATGTTGTTTACATTACGTGATCAATCTGACCATATGTTCAACATACCCTGATTTAATTGTCGCAAATCATGATGCCTATCTAAATGATTTCTATTTCTGTATTTCGATAAATTGCAAAAGTTGGAGTGTACTCTTTTCTTTTAAGTAAAATCAGTTAAGTAAGTGTTCAGGTATCACTATTTGTAGATTTCCAAGTTTATTGTTTACTCATGTGATGCTTGCAAGATTTGACAAGTTCAAATCTCTAAAAACTGTTCAAAGGTAAGCTGCAAATTCATTTTGTATTTATTTTTCTATCAACATAGCATGTACAGAGAGTCTCTGTGCTTCGATGTATATATTATTTGTAACTTAATCACATTTCCATCATCAAAAATATGTTTCATAACAAATCCATGTAAACTTTGAAAAAAATTAATTATTCAGGTAGATATTTCATTTATATTGATAGAAAATATGAATAAATTTATACTAACATGGTTAATCACATTATTTTTAAATAACAAAATCTTTTTTATTAATGTTAGAAGATCAGTAATGTCAGGTGGTTATAGCATTTATAGAGCCACACAAAGTATTTCTCAGCCTAAAAAAGGAAACGGGGCGTAGATTCACTCCACAACTGATGAAAAGTTCAAATCTGTCACAATTTGAACTGGTCAGCATCAGTTCATTCTGTGGAGTATGCACAAACAATTGTTTTCTTTGCTGACTAAAGTACAAAGGAATTTAGCCCAATGCTAATATTTCTGCGAACCCCTGAAAGTCAATAGACTACAATTACAAATAATCACAAAGCTTATTACCAACTAAACCAATTAACGTTTTCTTGAAGTGGAATAACAGACAAATTCACAAGCTCATTTGAATAGCTGTCTTGACAGTCAAGTATATTTACTACCTCCCGAAATAAATATTGTATCTCAGTGTACAGATGGACTCTCTTCAACATGTTCAAACACAAGTTCCTTCTCAAACCAACAACTGGGGCTATCTACCAGACGCCAATACTAACCATGCTAACACTACAGAGGATGACCAGGTTGCAAGGGTGGGAAAGCAAGAGTTTTCTACCATGTATCCTCTAACAATGGCAGCAAGCTGTGGTAGTCATCATCAAGTATACTGGTACATTTGTTGTTGTTAATGTTGTTGTTAATGTTGCTGTAAACATGGTGTAAGCAGGGATAGAAATTAACCCAGAATGTTTACTAGGTAAAGTAGTGATAAAATAGAAAATACAAATTTTTATCAGCCTTGAGAATATCTGTAACAATTGGAAACTTACATGGCGTAGAGGATGAGTGCCTTCTATCCAAATGAATGATGCATGCCCATGCATAAATGGTATCCAACTGAGATTAAAATGCAGTGATCAGTCATGTGTGTCTATATAAATTTTTCCATTAAATATTTTTAAATGTTAAAACATTTACTTAACACTGTCATAACTTAATGTCTTGTACATTTTATATCCTTATCATGCTTATAGTGTAACAAGACTCAATATGATAGTTTTGGGGACCCAATCTTATTTCGACACGCCAGTTAATTGCAATACATTACCGGGGTATGTTGTTCAACAAGGTCTTGAAGTACCTTTTTTCTACAAAAGTTAATAAAATGCATATCTAAACAGGAACAATGAATGCACAAACAATGAGTGCTGTGTGTAATGTGCTGAAAAAGTGATGTTTACCTTAATAGTAACAACCCTGCCTTTGCATATCAGATTGCACACTGATAAATGAACAAATGACAGTCTAACCAAAACAACAGTTCCAATATGGCTGCCATTGAGGCCATGTTTAGATAGCATTGAAATTCTACTTTGGCATTTTCTACTGTCATTATCAATATCTAAGGAACATTGTAGGGGCGTTGTGGTCCGAAAACATAAGAGTATATCAGTGAGCATGATGAGGTGAGGTGAGGTGAAATTGGGTTTAACGTCGCGGCTAAGATTATTGCACTTATATAGCAACGTGCATGCATGTGTATGTGTGGCTGCGTGTACTAGTCCGGACTTATGCCGATTTATAGTGCTAGCTCACTGAGATACTATGCCCGCAGTTAACATGAATACCCCTCTCAGACACAGTATACCGATTCCGAGCCGACCAGTCCTTGTGAAAGCCCCTTTATGCCGAGCGCCAGATAGGGTAACAAGAAGTACCATCTTTCAACGTCTTTTCGTATGACGCAGCCGGGGATCGAACCCTGGACCTTCTGCTCTTTGGGTGGATGCTCTACCACTAGACCACGGAGGTGGTCAGTGTATATCAGTAAAGAGAAAAGCTCTATCATGTCGATATAAATCTGGTCATACTGTCTTTGGTCGGAATGGAAACACTTTTAATTGCACAGACATCGGCTTCATTGTGTGTTTATGCATGATTACAATACAAGATTGGTTACATCGATACATGATCCCAAATAAATATTATGATATGAAAAATTGGTATCATAAACTTTGGACCACAAATTTTAAAATAAATTGCAGGGATCGCCTAACCATAAGCACCGGCATATCTTTTGGATGCAATAACATAACATCTTAGCCAAATGTCAGGAATTGCATAATAACTGCTATTTATTCTTGCGCAATTTTCCGACTATGTTGTTTTGCCGGTTGCGTCCTGGTGGTCACCTAGGTTGCACACGCGGGTATGTAGGCCTTGGTTTCCTAATGGTCAACATATGACACATATTCCTCTTGGGCATAGTGTTCTTTAACTTATTACGACCGATATTCCCTCATCATTCCACATGCATAGCCTGGCCTGGCCTCGCACTTGTCAAAACAAAATGTGCAACTTACCTGTCTTTTTTCAAAGTTTTCACGTTCAACTTCCAAAGAACTCTTCCCTCTTTGACTAACCACCCTTGGTAAATGTAGGGACGACATGTTAACGCAATATTTTGGACAATTATCGAACTAACTTTACTATATTGACATTCAGTCAACAAGATTCAGTCTCCATTTTTGACACTCAGACCGACCTCTCGTGGCTAACTATAGAACTAGGGGCGACAACTCCATGTTTACAACAAAGGGGGTGTGTCTCGGAATATTTTGTAAGTTTTTAACCGGATCTTTCATTGCAAAATGTATTCACGAATTTGCCACACATTACATGCTGTTTGACACATCACGTGAAAGTGTTTTATAATCACGTTCTCAAAACAACGCATTGGTACTTCCGAGCACTGTAACTGTGATTAATATCACATCTGGATATATCATATGTATTAATTGTGCAGCAAACATTTTTTAAAATTTCAATGCCGAAAATACGATTACATGTGTTGTTCTGTATTGTTACGACATGAGAATCTACATACAGAAGTCACAACAATAAATGTCCGTACGCGGAAGAAATATGCAATGTGCAGCAATGAATCATACATTTATATGTCGTGTATGTGTATATATTGTGTATGATAATAGCTTACCTTCTTATTTCCTGGCATGATTCCGAAACATTAAACCTCACATATATCCAGGAGCTGAAACTGGAGCGGCGAGACTGAAGGACAATGCACACTGACACTACGAAGATACGGACGGGCCAACGTTTAGTTAAGGGTTTCATATCCTATTACTCATAAATGCGGAATCCTTAGGACATTAAAGGTTCATGAACAGATTAATCGTGCCCTGTTGTGTTATAATTAGATAACAATGAAAATTGTGAAATTGATTTGTTTTGTTTGTTTTGTACAGCAGAAGTAGAAGAAGAAAGAAGAAGAAGAAAGTAGAAGAAAGAAGAAGAAAGTAAAAGAAAGAAGAAGAAGAAGAAGAAGAAAGGAATATTTTATTGAAGTGTCACACACTGTAAAATGCAATACATAAACATAAACACAGCAAGATTTCATCCCCTAGATACATCGACTCAAATAGCTTTATGCCATGCAAATACAATATTTAGTGAGTATGGTTTTAAGCCGCACTCAGCAATATTCCAGCTACATCACGACCTTCTGTAAATAACTGAGACTAGACCAGACAATCCAGTGATGGATATCATGACCATCGATCCACGCAATTGGGATACGATGATTTGCATCAACCATGTAAGCGAGTGTGACCTCCCGGTCCCGATAGTCGCCTCTTACGACACGCATAGTCGCCTTTTACGGCATGAATGGATTATTAAAGACCTATTCTTACCCGGATGTTCACGGGTCTTAAGGGGCATGAACAAAGGCTGATCTCCCCGGAGTTAGTATATTATTACTGAGTCGGGTATCGGTGTTAAATTGAGGGATGCTCTCCGATTTGGCTAACACTTAATCGGCACGAGTACGGACTGGTACAAGAAGCCACTCACAAATACACACAACACCAATGATAATAAGTGGGACGGATTTGGGATTCGAACACCACGACTTGCGGATCCCCGAATCCTAGGGACGCAACTCTCCACAGTGATGTACCTGACCAGTAGGGCTGGGACGGGTAACTCGGGTACTGAGTAGGACCCGGGTACCTACAGGACTACCGGGACCCGTGGTTAGTGACGTGATATATTGTTTAATGACAAAAGGTATCTACAACTCTATGTTTCAACTACAAGTCACTAATGTTCGCAGTTCTTCCTGACTACTACGCCCACTCCTTCTGACTTTTATATGTTTGAATAAAAATAAAACTTCAGCCAACTTCAGTGTATACACCCGATCTTTTCATACATGTATCTAAACACGTTTTACCAGAGCTACGGTCAAACTTTTCCAAATCGGACAGTTTGTACCTACATCTTGAGACCTACAGCGGGTACCAGGGTAGAACCAGGTAAGAGGGGGTTGGGTACTGACCAGGTCACCCGTATTTAAAGACATGCACCCTGAATGATTTGGAATGGTTTGGTGTGCTTTAAGGTGCACAGCCTCGCGCATATTGGAATTAAAATAACTTAGACACCGGTTTATTTGTTTACTTTTCCAGATTTAAGATGCATGTCAATTTAACTTTTAATGGTTGCACAACTAACACAGAGACAATGGCTCAGCTTCTCTCAGTGCATTTATGGCAATGTCTGGGCTGGAAACAGGTTGACTAACATCTAGTTTATTAATTTAATGGAAATATTTTAGGAAAAAATCGTTGTTAAATTATCTTAATACAAGATAGTGAAAATGAGCCCACAGACTCGTCATTTTCAGAAACTGTAGTAATCTAGACTTGCCAACTGGTAATAGACTTGCATGGGCTATTTTGGATACAGGCAGCAGTGCGTGGAGTGAGTTTGGACAGGCATGAGCATATTTTACGTGAGCTTCTTTGACTTAAAGGGGGATGTCCGAGTAACTCTCCATTCCTTGAAACTGATGGAGCCGAGGCCTATTATTTTTAAGGAATGGAGAGGTACGAGGGTATACCCATACTTAAAACACATCCACACTTTTAAGGCAACCCGACCGCTACTTGAATACAAATACATTTATGGTTTTTTTTAATGTTTGCGCACAAACTGACACAATGGTGTCTGAGGAGCCGCAAATTCGCCGTGCAGAATTGCGTCAGTTGGGCAAGCCTGAAACCTTTGATTGGGTTCGAATCCAGGTTCGCCCAGATATGTTTCCAGGTTTTTCGGCACCATAACCGTGCTCGTGGATTTCACTAAAGTGGTAAACGTCTGAGGCCTACATCACTTCGGGCGTTCCTCCCACATTAAGCTGACACGCAGTGATATAACTAGACTACTGTTCAAAGCGGCGTTAAACTAAACTCACTCACTCATGCAGTAATCTGACAAATTTATATAAACATCTATAACACTGATACATGGTATTAATATTGAGAACATATTGACCTTTTTTCACACTTTCGCCATCTTGGATCGAAAACGAGGCTTGGAGGGCATAGTTTATATCCAGTGTGAGTCGCATCACAGGGAACAGAGAGCATGTAGTGCAGATATTGCACATTTAATCCTGAGGTCCAACTGAAATATGCCTGCAATACACTGGAATTCGCATTTTGCTGTCAAGATCCCGGATGACGGCGGAAGTGAATCGAAAGGTTTTATCATAACCTCGTCGGCATATGGGTACAGTGTGATAGTATATTCAATGACAGAAGCTTTGTATCGTAAATGAACTGCATAACATGAAACACGTCCGTGTATTTTGCTAATTTGCTCAGTCAACGCGTGGCTTGGCGAACTCGAGATCGCCGATCATGTTTATCTAACGTTTCATAGTGGTGTTTGCTGCACCACGCACTATCGTTCTGCCATGAGTCAAGTTGACATAAGACACTTTTTCTGCTATGATTTGCATCCAAACATATTACGATGTAAATGAAATAAGTTCACAAAATAACTCGTGTGTCAAAATAAATATTCAGAAGGGGCGATAACTATTCAGTGTGTACAATGACAGATGAAACTACTTTTCCTTCAAACATCACTTATTTAACCATTATTGGTGATTAAGATTGCACCGTGCACGACAAAAGGTATAATGTGTAAAATGTTTAAGATAAGTTAAAATGAAACTTAAAATTAATAAATATAATTGTCAACCTATAGAAAGTGTGTTCTGTGTTGTGATTGGCTAATTTGGTACACATGACCAAATGTCAAAGGGTGAAAATATGATTTGCATTACCTGAAGCAAGCGACCGAATCACTGTGTAGGAATACATAATTACTCAGCATTTTTATGCATACTAAATAACAATGGACGCAAATTGAAATACAAAATTAAAATTCATAACAAATATTTTGATTTTCTCTATTCATGGGAATTATTGGGATTTTTAAATTTTTAATTAAAAAGAATTATAATGAAATACTTACCAAAATCACAATCACCATAGCGACTAACGCGCACCTGGCGAATCCTCAGATATCACTGTTCTGTATATCCAACGACATAAAAAAATTCCAAGATCAAGCCAATTCTTCAAGAAATGTGTGCATATAATTTAACGGGAAATAAAATCCATTTTGGTTAAGTTATATCGTCAGTTTTAGTTATAAAATTAAATGAAACGGCTATTCATGGACACTATTTATATGAACTTTTGATATTAACTTTTAGATCTACACTCCCTAGATATACATACATGTGACAGGTACATTTACATTTCATCTTGTAACACTTGTTCAAATTAAAGAAATATCGTATACGACACTATAAACTTATCAACTTCATATGTGAACATTGTTCAAACAAACAGGAGATTATCCAACGTTCATATATGTTGTGGCCAATATATACGTATGATATCATATTGAACATTGATTAATATCCAAAGTGAAATTAATTGTGTGAAAAAATGTACAAAAGATATGCAAGATCTACATCATGAAACAGTAAAAAGCAGTAAACAATGATCGTGTGTACTTTCATTCAAGGACCTTCACCTCAGAGAAATTACCAAATATGTACAACAAATATGTTGAAGTTTGACATCACTACCGGTGACCGAATTTTACAAAATGGCGTGTTGACTGTCAACAGTGCGCGGGATTTTACGAGGGGACTTTCGTTGATTCAGGGTTCGTATATGTATATACATAAATGTGACATGTAAGTAATCAGAAACATTCTGACAATCTGTGTACTGTTTTTTGTTGTTGTATTTTTCATCGAAACCAACGAAAATAGTCAGAAATTCTGATAAATACCGTTGTTGTTGTGCGTGATTTTGCGTCAGTCATGGCGTTACATAGGACGGGAACTTCGACAAGTTCTGTTGAAAATATCAAATCATTGCTATGTATATATGTTTAATTCCCTAAATCTTCCTACGATTCTCTTCCCGTGTATATTCTGAAAATGCAGAGCCAATGTACTCAACGAATATCAGTGGTTCATATTGGGAAAGGGAGGTCACTCTAATTTCAAACGGGAGCTATCTCCGTTGTTTTCGTATTTGCGAGAAATGGCGTCAGTCACGCTGTACGTTGTTGGTCCAGCTATTAAATGCCCAGCTTATCCCTAAGGTAAAACGTATTCTTAATTAAATGTTTAAATGCATTATATATTTATGTTTCCATCCGTACATCTTCTTAGATTGGTTTAGTGCCGATAACCATTTTCTAAAATGTGGGCCCACATTTTCCCCGTCATCTATGGTGTTCGAAACAAGTGGGCCCACATTTGTATATCGCCTAGCTTCGTTAGGTTGTTTAATTAGTTCTGATAATCAATTCCTAAATGTGGGCAGACGTTCTTCTGTCATATTGATTGCAAGAGGAGGGACCACATTTATTAATCGGGAAAGTCTACTTAAATATTGTTAATCATTTTCTCAAATGTGGGCCCACATTTTCCCCGTCATATATGGTGATCGAAACAAGTGGGCCCACATTTGCATATTGCCTAGTAGGTAGAGGTTCTTCCGTCATAGTAATTACAACAGGGTGGGGTCACATTTATAAATCGCTAAGCTTCATTAGCCTGGCTTATTTATAA